ATTATCGCTTTCTTCGTAGCGAGAGAGAATTTCTTCGAAGCCACGCAGCCCGTCGTGATCCACCAATAGTTTGTGAATAACGATGACCTTTACCTAAGCCGCGCGAACTCCTACCAGCTGAGGTCTTTCCACGAAGTTCACGGTGTTTATGCACCGCATTACATACCCAGTTAACTTTAGGATCATTTCGGATAGCCTAAAACAAAGCACAACAAAAAGAAATTCACAATTTGTTCTTATAGAAATATTTTCTATAAATAAATCAATTAATTAATTCAGACATCCAAGGAAGATTAAATATCATCTTATTTCACTATTTTAATATATGTTATCATCATGGAATTATGTAAATAAATTTTTGTCTTTGTTTAATGCATATTTGGAAGGATAAAATTACCCCATGTGCTGGATCAATCAAGATGACTTCGTAATATTTGTAAGAAGAATCTTGAGCTACCCAATAGCTGTTTAATACTCTTAAACCACCGCAACGACGACCAACACGTTCCTGAAAGTATTAAAATAAATATTAATTAATTTACTTATTTGTTAGAGAGAGAGATAGAGAGAGAGAGCTATATGAAAAGTAGAAATATATTAAATTAAAAAGAATATACTTACTTCAGCAACAGATTGTAATTTTCTGGTAGGTTTAAGTTGGTTTACACCATGGCTTTTAGGTTTGCCATAAGTTGCACCTTTAGGTACTGGACGTTTGCGTCCACCACGACGCACACGGATTCTGAAGATGACAAAGCCTGTAATTTGAAAAACAAATATTTTTTTTTACTTATAAGGATCATGATTTCAATAATATATAGAAGTTAGGAACAAGAATGATCAGAATACTAAAAATCAATCACCATGATACTGTAAGAGTGGTGCATGATGTATCATCATTAAAAATATTTAAAGACAATCTAATATTATATTTCTGAATATTACTATTCTCTATTATAATCTTATGTTTACCAGCAGTCATGGAATCAATTTCATCCCCCAAAGTAGGAAGTGCGCGGTATTAAAGGAGCCACATCTAAAAAAAGAAATCATTGGAAAAATGTTGGACATGTATCTCCATGACTGCTGTATGAACTGAAAATATGTTTCAAATACTTGGAAGATATTATTTGAAAAATTACAGATTGTTTCGACACTGTAATTCAAAAATTTAACGTGTACAACTAAATAATACTAAATAATACTAAAATGTCTTTGGAAAATCGTCTTGGTAGTGAAAAATCATTAAACATTGTTATAAGGTCTCACCTTGCTTGGCTTTATATCCTAAACGACGAGCTTTATCAGGCCTGGATGGTCTTGGGGCACGATGCATTTTGGTTAATTGGCGATATTGCCAACACCTAACACGTAGCAAGAAGCGAAGTACATCGCTTTGCTTCTTCCTATACAATTCTTGCATATACTTATACGCACCCATCGTGAATCCCTATAGACCAAAATAATTATACCAATTGCAAATTATAAATATAATAATTTATTGAAACCATTCGGTTATCATAATAATAATAATTTTAAAAAGAAATATTTATTTATGTAATAAATAAAACTATTAAAACATATTCGAGAATAAAAGAATATGGACGCGAGAAATTTTATTGAAGGTTAACTTTCTTGTTGCAACTAGAAAAATATTATTCGGAAGATTAATGATACAAAATTATAATAATGAATTATACGATCATGTTTAATCATACATTTTGTAATATTTTAATTGAAATATAATTTAAGATGTTCACGATATAATACGATTTCTAGTGAATATCACTCACCCCACGCGATTACCCAGAAAGAAAGACCAACCGCTTGAATATGGTGGAATGCAACACTGAACGAACAGTGTTATAGATGGCAAGCCTGCCTTTTATGCGCTATTAATGCGCATTTAATATAAACTAATATTCTTATCGACTGTCGATAATTTTATTTTGAAAATAAATTTGAGCGAAATTTAAAAAGTTTTAATGATTTGAATATTTTGAGTTTGAAATCATATTTTTGTATGTAATTTGTTAATAAAATTCATTTACTTAATTTATTATTAATAATTTATGTATAAAAATTTGAACACACACACACACACACATACGAAATATAATTTATAAAAAATTATTTATTAAAAAAAAAAGGATATACTTTATCAACTAAAAATAATATAATAAATCATATTACCGTGTCAGAGGCTAATTGTATAGATATAATTCTAAAATATGACAACAAAATAATTTGGCAATCGTTTTAACTAACGATTAGATCAAATCTACGATATGTCGATTACGTTCTCATATTTTCAATAATCAAATAATAATTAACAAGTTTCTAAAATCATTCCCAATTTCTTTAAACAAAGTCAAGGATAAAATGAGCCCGATAAAGAAAATAATTTCCGAGGAATGTCATTAAAATTTGTAAATGACATGAAATCGTTGACTGTTAGGTATATTGTTGGCCATGAATGAAAGGTGGACCAGGGATGCGTGTTATAACGACAACACGACACATTATCGAGCGACCTGGTGACCTCTCACCGAGGAATTGATTATTTTAGGGGAGTTACCCTGAAGAGTCGAGAATAGCGAGGTAGTTCGTCATGGAGACTCGTTCAGGTAGCATAAAGGATCCGATTTATTATCCATCTGGCTCGGAGAACTTGGAAGTAAGCAACGATGTTAAATCAAGCGCGCGTAGTTCTGGTGGTAGTCAAGAACTTAGTTTGGACGAGAGCGCCTCGCTCAAAGTACCAAGAAAGTTTATTGCTAATTGGCGGCAAGCTTGCGATCGAACCCGTGATAAAACGAAAGATTTGTTAAAGAGATGGAGAACGGTACCAAGCAATGTCGACGAGCTTACTGCAACCACTATTGCTACCAAAGAAATTGAACATCCTGGCTGGAGTGTACACGTTTGGAGTAAGTTCAACAAAGATTTTGGTATATTTATTATTTCTTTAAAATTCAATTTACCTTTTTCTATACGATCGCAAATGGTAATCGCGTATAAAAACTAACAGCAACTTGGGTAAGTCGTTATCCGAGCGACGATAGCCTAACAGCGATCGAAGATTTAGACAAAAGTAGAAATTTGAAAGCTTTGGCGCCTATGCAGCGTGACAAACTTTCACATTTCTTTGTACATCTGTTGGATCACGACAAGGATGGTTTTATCACTAGAAAGGATTTCGGGATGCTATCCGAGGTAGTATTTTTATTTAAAGAAATGATTTTTGTTTTTAATTTTGTTAACTTGGAAGTTTAGAAAGTATATGATTGAAATTTACTGATATTTCTAAAGAAATTACGAAGATTTGCTGATTGGTCATGGAACGGTCCAGAATATTTACGTTTGTTGGAAGTCGAAAAAGGATTAGCTTCTTTAATATTTCCTGAAAAGAAAAACGAAACGGAAGAAATGAGAAAAATCGATTTGGACGATTGGTTATCTTGGTGGGCACAAATAATAACACCAGTTCATGGGGCGAGTTTTAAGGAGTTACCGTTTTGGATTAAAATGATACCTAGAATATTTTTTCTTGCTATTAATGCTAATGGAAATGGAAGGATCAGCAAGGACGAGATTGCTAATTTTTATGGTTCGGTAGTTGGCCTTGATTCGGATAGAATTAAAAAGTGTCTTGACATTGCCTATAATTCTATGACCTCTGTGAGTGGACCAAGATTAATTGGATTTCTTATATGATAATGAAAAAAAAAAAGAGATTTTCAGTTTTTGATTTAGGTCCTTTTTCCAGAACGGAGATCATCCTCTTGGTTGGCCGCAGTACCAATTAGTGTTTGCTAATTTTTTGTTTGGGCGTGGTCCTTTCGGACCAGGTGAACATTTTCTTGGTATGACAGACTCTTGTGTTGCACGTGGAAACAGTATACCTTTTCCAATCGATTATTCCGCTATGAATACTCCGAAAGATAAATTAGAAATTTATAGTCCGCATTGCAAAAGTACTAGACGAAGTGTCGTTGTATAAAATATATAATTGTCATTATTATAAAAATGATAATTATTATTTGCTAACTTTGTTCTTTTGTAAATGTTACATTACAATTGGTCTTTTTAAATTATTCGCATGAGTTATCTGCGGCTATTGATAGACCGAAGTCACTTAAAATTAATTAATTTGAATATTATTTACATTATTGTTACATTTTAAAAATTGTCATTCTAATCAAATTTAATTTTCAATATATTCGTGAATGTGTGTGCATATATAATTAAAATAATATTACAAATATAACAATAAGAGAGCAATAAAATATGAGAAGTATTAGAAAAAGAGTATAAGGATTTGATGTGCGTATCGCTTCTTTTATTTCAAAAATAATGATGTAATAACTTACAAGGGACATACACAAGAAGTAAAATGACACGTTTAATATTAACTATAATATTTTAACTAAGACACATGATTAGAAGAGAAAGTCGTGGCGTTGCGTATAACAAAAATATTTCAATGAATTCATCTCTAGAATTCTAATATTGTACTTAAATACTGACTCGCTTAATTAGTTAAAAAAGCTATGAAAGCTAATTTTCAAATATATGTATATATATATACACATATAAATGTATTACGTGTACAACAATTGTACATATATGTACATATGCACGTATATATGAGTAAAAAAAATGAAATTCGTATACAATCAAGTTTACATAAGTTACATTCATTTTCGATCTATAATCATTAAAACGATAACAATTATTCAATAATAATAAAACAAAGAATAATATATATTAATAATAATAATAATAATCTGCATATGAGTAAAAGCAGAAAACACAAAATTCGTGTGTCGCGAATTTAGATATTAAATTTATCTACGAGGGTTGGGGTTGAAGAGTTTTAAGGCTCAACAAAGAAACAACTTTTATTTTCTTTACAAAAAAAATATATTTTATAATTTAAATTATATATTTAAAAAAACAAAAATAAAAAAAACAAAGTTTGGCCGAAAGAAAATTTTATGTTAGGCTCAAAACTTTTCAGCTTACCCATGTACTACGATGAAAGTGAAATTTTTTAAACTAATCGTAATATAAGTAAAGGTAAAAGTAATATTGGCATAGAACAAGCAGTCGATCAAATAATTTTGAGCGTGATTTCAATGGACAGAAACTTCAAAATTATTTGAAGATAATGCGTTCAAAAACGTGCCGTCGATTTACACACGCACAGTCCTTAGAAATCGTTACAAATTGGCAGTACATCTTTTGTTACAATATAATAATATATTATAACATATATATGACGTATAATCATGATTCTTAAAATACATATTACATATAATAGATGTAAACCTGAGTTGGGGGTGATCGATTTGGTACATTGTACGTACGATTATCTATTTGACGTAAGGAATTATGGTTTTTTTTCTTTTTTTATTTCTTTTTTTTTCGAACACATCCCTGTAGTCTGTATTGTTTTGCTTGTACTTGTGTGATCTTAACGTTAAAATTCATACTTTGATACATTTTCATCGCTATAATCTTAACTATAGCGGTTTATAATTTTGCATTGTTTTTTTTTTTTTAGAGAAAATATGATACCAAATTAGACGTTTCACAAAGAGAAAGAAAAAAAAGTTCTATCATTTTGTGTTCTATCATTTAATAATTCGACGAAATAATAAATGCACCGATATTGTTCAGTGATCATGATCAAATGTCACATGGTTCTCATTGTCAGTAATATCTCTTAATATTATAATCGATATTATAATATTAGAGTTTCGGCCCAAACTCCGAGTACGTAAGATTCTATCTCACATTCGTTCGTTCCCTTTAGAATTCTAAAGAGACCATTTTCACCCCAATCGTAACCCCAAGAATTAGCTACGGTCTAAAATCAACAACAAAAAATTATATACGATGAGAATGAAACGGTAAATGTTTATAAAATGATTTTATCAAGTAATACTCACCCAATATTTGACCAGTCCACCACGATGATAATCCTCACCCCATCCAATAATTCTCACCGAATGATATCCAAATTCATACATTTCAGCGGTTCGAGAATGTCGATAAATACCTGATTGATAAGTGAAGAAATCCTGATAGACCTTCATCGTTGCTGAAATTTGATAAGATCGTTTAAAAATAACCGATCACGAGATTAAAGTTTCTTTCGAAAGATTCACAAGTATAATATAAGCAATTGTCTCTTTTACCTTGCACAGGTCCGGAAGTTAAAATTTCCTGCATGATGTCTGTTTCATTGCCAAGACGATAAGCAGGCCCCACTTTGTATAATTCCTTTCTTAGATGATAAGGTGGATTTCGACATCCAGCTGCACGAAGATTTGTTCTCTTTTGTAATCTGCATTGATTTTGGTTACCGGTCCAAGGATAACAATCCTCGTCGACTAATCTACAAAAGTGAACAAATTATCGTTTACATGATAAATTTAGAACGAGAAAGTCTTACTTTTCAAATAGCTTATTATGTTGAATTTTCAAATAAACACGAATCATTTGTTTACCCGAATCTTCTCATGAAGAACCAGGCCCGGTCCAAATATCCACCGTTGCAACCTTGCTGGCCTCGATTATTACACGAAAGAAGATGTTGCGCACTCAATTCAACATTTTCAACACCTTTGCTCATTATTGCAAATCTATCGGATGCAACATCAGCTGTTGATATTGCCCAAGATGCTCCGCACCATCCTTGATCGTGAATTTCTGATATGTTACGTTGCCAACGTGACTTTGCATCGAAACTACGTGGAAGTGCTTCGGGATCGTAAATACGTCGCACAGGATTCATTTTATAAATCTAAATTAAATATTATTAATAATAATAATATGATATTTTATTCTAACAACGATAAATAATTATATTTGTACCGATTGCGATGGATTAAGAGTACCCAATCGATATCGTATTCCTTCTTGAAGGGTCTTTCCCCAAAATTTCGAATAATTTCCAGGAGTCCATCCTAACGTGTTGCTCTCTAAATCGAGTTCCTTTACAAAATCTGGCTCGATCAGGCATCGATTCTCTTCGCAGAGAACTTCTGCGCTTCTGCCTAACAGTGAGCATTTACTGAAAATTTCAAGATCATACGACTATTCGTTTTTATTTTCAATAAGATTGTTTTAGATTTTGAAATAAATGATAATATTAATTACCATTGATTGCAGTTTACCGTGAAGACCTGGCTGTGATTGTAAATCCTTCCATCGTACCAGCAAACTGTAAAATGAAAAAGGTCGATTAATGTGGAAAGAATGAAAAATATGAGGAGATATAAAAATAAATAATGCAATTATTTAGATTTAGATTGGAACACGCAAAGAACGTACGTCTGATCTCTTCCGGTGGAGCTTCCGTTATGCCTTTGCAATGGGAATAATAATCTGGACAACAATCTTCTTCTCTTGTTCGGTCACAAAAATCGTCGCAATAACATGTTGTCTCTAAGATCGGTGCACTGCAGTCATCTTGTCTTCCTTGACAACATCTATATGCCGGATATCTCGTAGCACAATATGGACCAGGGGGTAGTCCAGAATAATTTGGTATAGCTTTCGCGAACGACGATAAATACGTCAGAGCAACTACCACGATGATCCACATCCTGAAAAAGATGTTTCTTTTTTATTAATACAACATTTTTATATTCGAAATAAATTCATATTAAATAAAATATTTTAATATGAAAATATGCGATGCCTAAATTTAGGCAACACGTCATACATCAAAGTTCTAAACAAATTGTTAACCCCTAATAATAGGCAGTTCATTTACACATAATTGTATTACGGGAAGAGATGTCTTCAGAATATGTCGCATGCGACATTACCGATGAAGTATAAAGGGTTACATATTTTCAGGTGCAACACTTGCTCGTTTAAAAAATGTATTAATCAAACGTAACTAATTATTTATAATTGTTTCACAATACATGAAAAAAAAAGGTAAGGAATGCTTTAAGATTTAATATTTAAGAAACTTCTTTAAACAATTAAGTGATAATCATTTTTCTTGTAAAATTATTTAAAATATCTACATTCCATCTTGTGTTTTTTATTACGTGAATCACAAAAGCATACAATGTCATTCAAAGAGCAAGTTGATGACATTACACAAGATTGTCGGATTCCATCATCTTCCGAGAACGCTGATGGTCTAATGACGAATTATATGAGCATCTAACGAACGGAACGTAACTTTGAAGTCGATCCAAAGTAGATAAGATGCCGTGTTCTTAGCATACGTACATCGCTAACTTGGCAAAACTATTGTTGTTTTTGCCAGATGTTACAGAACACTACATTGCTACTAATTGTACACCTGAATGTGATACGAATTATAAAACTATATGGATTATTTAACGATGCTTGACTTACAACATTCTTTCTAACTTGTAATATATTTCAGACACGATTTACTAGATTCTTTATTAATATTCCTAATTAATTCGTCTATTAAGAAATCGTTTATTCACGGCTCACCAACTCTCTACAACAATTCTATCCTATTATAATATTGATGGAATTTATCAGACTGGAACGATGCTTATTACATCCTCGAATCAATCGATTTGACATCTAAAATAAAATCATATCTTATGATTTAGTTACATCGTACATATATAATACGAAACTTATGATATACATGTTTTATATATAAGATGATAAATAAATTCTATACTATAGTCATGTGTAAGAGAGAGAGAGTATAGAATAATCTAAATACATTAGGTCCTGTTACAATAATGATAGAATTATATTTCGTTAATTCTAAGCAAAGTAAATCAATACGTTTGTAAAATGACTGAAGATTAACTATGTTGAATATCAATTACTTTTATTAAATTATAAAACATACTTATCTCTATTAAACGAAGTTAGAAACGTGATACAATTAAATCAATTTGTAAATGAATCGTATTCAACGAGATAAGAATGACTACAATGTAAATGAAAATATGTGACAGGAATGAAAAATGATTGGAGCGTCAAATACAATTCGTATAATAAAAATCGAAGTATAAATCGTGATAGCATTGATACGACCTTATTGCATCTCGATTTTCTAACATATGGGAGTGGTTTTTGGAGGTGAGCCAGAATATTACATGAAACTCTTGCTCATGCGTGCCTTTCTGATAAGGAACTAACATAAACAAATACAGAAGTGTCGTTATACTTATTGAGTCTATAACACATACATACACATGCATACGCAAGAAGAGTTAATGGATGAGAACAGCCGTATGAATTGATCAATGACATTCGATAAGAAGTTCCTTGGACTCATGAACGAGTATGTCTCGTAAAGCATAGTCACGTATCATCGATCCATTTGAAAAACGAGCTCGTTGACTCGCCTTACACTTTCTTGCCACATTGCAAAACTCGTAAATCGTATTTACCAAAGTCATTTTGTTTGGCTAGAACATTAACGATGATGGGAATAAAACTTAACCAACTTGGTTATTCTGTTAGAAAGTATTTATACGAATTTTGAGTTATAGTCTATTCCTATTTGTCTGTACTATAAATCATATTTTTCGGTACACGTAATCATATGTAAAATTAAATTATTGAAATTTATATTTCCTAAAAATGTTTTAATTTTTTCTTTTTCTTTCAAATTTATATTAAAAAATTTGATTTACGTAGATATAAAATTAAAAGAACTGACCATGATAGAATCATTTGATAAAACATTATTAAATGTTCCGTAGAAAATATTTAACGCAATGTTGACATTAAGTGCAACTAATTTGTCGCAATTTGTAATTCGTTTGCAAATTGTTTCAACTACTGTTTAGAAGGTCTCACAAGTTTTCTCTTGAGCTTGAACGAAATGAAATTTATAGCTTGTAGAATAGATGAATGCGTAGTTGTGATATCTTTTGAATCTTCAAATTATACTTGGCCAGTAATTGAAAGTTCTTCCTCAATGTTTTCATGTTTAACATTTGACGATATCTTGTCGAGTCTCTGAAATTATACTTAAGATAAGTGTGCAATTCAAATTCAGTAGATGTATACAAACTTTCAATTGTTATTGTAAATCCTAACTGATTACAATTATAGATCGTTGCACTCTCTAACAAATTTAAGTACAATAACATAGCGATCCCAAAAATATCGTTTTAAGTTAACATGTTTCGACTCGACTCGATATAAACAGACTTGACACACTGACTAAGATAGACCATTTAAACTTCTAACTGTTCATTCAGAAAATTGGCGCAATTCCAGACGTATTTCTAAGATTACCAAGGTTAAGGCACCGGAATTCTCTAAAGGTTTACAAATTAATGGACCAAAAGGCACAACCTTGATAACATTGCAAACATTTCTAACTTAGATGATTCTATTCATTTAAAAGAGTAACGCAATGTATTTAGATGCTCTAGATTCTTTTCTCTTTTAAAAGGTCATTGACCTATCAACGAGCTTAAAATGTACAAATAAAAAAATACGACGAAGAAAAAAATAATATTGGAATTAAAACGTAATGTCGATGTACGGAGAAATTGTTTTCATCGAGACAAAAAAAAATTAAACGCGTATGTGTGTGTGTGTATGTATACTAGAGTGGGTTGAAAAGTTTCAGTCTCAACGAAAACGAACTTTTATTTGTTTTTAAATAAAAGTGAGCTTGACCGAGAAAAAACATTGTAACGATTAGAATTTGCAAAAACATATCTAAAGATACCAGCGGAATTTTGAAATCACGTATATTCTTGGTTTTTTGATAAAAGTAAAGTCAATACTTTTCGGTCGGGTGGAAAAAGATACGAGTATGTATCGAGGAATTTCAACAAGGTGAGATGGGCAAATATTTTGATTTCAAATTATTTTGACAAATACCAAATTAACTTTTTACTTTGCTCTACGTAATTTCTCTTTTTATTCATTTGTTGTTTTTTTTTTGTTCTTTTTCATTTACTCTTTATTTATTATTTATTTATATATAATTGGAAATAAATTATTATGCAAGATATCTAATCCACTATCGTATTAATATAAAAACTTTTCTAAGAAATAGATTTACTTACGTAAGAGTGTAAGAATGATGAATGATAAGTATAGTTAATGAAATAGTTACGACGTCATCGTCCAAATTTGTATCGACGAAAATCAGAGTGCAAGAGGTTGCATTATGTCTTACGCATATATGTGGTTAGTAAGTAAAAGTACTTACGTACTTTTATACATACATAATACATATGAATGTAAAACGTTTAGCGTGGTGCGTGAAACAAAAGTAGCTCGCTATTGGGAACGATTAGAGCGTACAACTAAACGTTCTTGACCCATTTAGTTTCATTAACATTAAGTCGACACTGAGGCCGCGATATGATTCCGACCACCTACAACTTTCTATTCACTTTTAACGCATAAAATTCTAAGACTAAAGGATTGATTCACTTTAATCAAGATGACAATGAAAGTATGACGCTCGCCTATTTATGGTCATTTAAATTCACATAAATTTTCACACATTCGCAACAGTATACGTTTGTTCATAAAATTTATTGATTTTGTAAATTTATTTTGTTCGAAAAGTTTTGTAGAAAAACAAATATTACAATTGTAAATAAAATATAATAATTCGAAATAATTTTTCGTTTTAAAAATTTGTATAACAAAAAATTGCCTATTAAATTGAATAGAAAATTGTATTTTTGTAATTTTTACAAAATTATGAATTTAAGATATTAGCAGTAAAGATTTTTTGTTCATTTGAAATTATGGTTGGAAGCGAGCAATTATCAAAATACGTGTAAGTATGAGTAAATAGATATGGAAAGTAAATTGCGACACCATCGTCGTGATTTACTACATATTTGTATCGATTAATCGCTTAAGTGAGTATCAATGTGACGTCATAGACGGATTTATTCAATGACTACTCTCTCAACAGAAAGCTATGCAACCTTTATATATCGCGAAGACTATAATTGTGACCGACTTTTCGACAAGAGGCCAGTTCAAAGAAACGGAACAAGATCAAAGAAGATAGATAGTTGGATTTTCATCGGTAACGTTTAATTAAGTGGAACATCCTTTGCGTATTCATTCGCGGAACATATTTTCTAAAATTGTAAACAAGTGAATTAAGTTCTTTGCAAAATTCGTTTCATTATTTTCAATAATAAATCGGATATAAAACGAAACGAAACAGTTGTGAAAATACTTTGTTAAATGATTCATTACGTATAAAAGTTACTTGAAAATGAAACGAAGGTGGATTAAGTAATTTGTTAAATAAATCACATAAAAAAGCAAATTTACAGCGATACTTTGATAACTAAATATCTGATATTTACTGGATTTACTTTGTAAATTGTAGCTTACAAAGCATTAGGGATATTTTGTGAAATAATTATTAATCAAGAATAAAATAAAAGTAGATTACCATAGGTACTTTGTAAAATAATTCTAAGAAGTAAAAAAGATGAAAAAAAAAAGAAAAACTAATTTACACAAAATAAAAATAACAGAGTAATTCTAAAAAAAAAATTCGCAGAATAATATTTTCAAAATAGAAATAACATACTCTTAAAATTAGAAAACGTGTATATCTCATCCCCCTTTGATCATAATTTCAAAG